TGTCAATATAAACGGATTCTATTGTAGTTATAATAACATACTGTGCATCGTACTTATATACCCATATTAGGATGCCCCAATAAGAACAATATGTTTTTGTTTTATCTGTTATGAAAATATATCTATCAGCTCGAATAAAAAATAATAAACGGGACGCTTTTCAAAATCGTTTTTAAAACAGTTTTGGTTTTCTAATTTTTTTAGTCATGTAGGTAATTGTTGTCTTGTTCGAGTTTGAAACTTTTATTTAAGTCGATATTTTAATAATTTATAATTAACTTTTAATGTAATGTAGGTAGATATTTTCAATGTTTTCAAGGAGCCTGTAAATATAAAAAATATTGTTTTTCCTTGAACCACCTAAATGCCCTTGTAAGTATTTTGAACAAGTACCTATTGTACTTACACTGAAAATGATAATTGCAAGTTTATTTTGTGACTTATAATTATAATATTTAATAAAGATCAATATCTTGTCGAATGGGGTTTGTGGACTTTTGCAATTTCACACAATTTTGTGATCAAGTACCCTTAAAATTTTTCAACCCTTGTAATAAACAGCAATATTAATTTATTTTAAAAGATTACCTCATTATCTAAAGTATTTCCGCTGGCTTTTCCATTAAAAAGAAGCAAAACTGAACCTACTAACACTGTAGTTACAAGAAACAAATTACTTAAAAGCATACTGTTCACTTATTAAACATCACGAAGTAAATGATGATATGTTATTCTTCGATTTAATTTCTATAGCAACACTACCTGTAACGTCACAAATTAATAGCGTTTTATTTGGTTGTTAGTTGTTCTTATAGACATGTAATTTTCCTCTGGCAATAACACTTATTGTTGTGGGAAATTCATAAGGTTACGGACAAAGAATCATATGAGTTAATTGCGCACAAAAATTGAATTACAGTAGACAACAAATACACTGGGTGCCCAACTCTGTGTGATTTACCTAACGCTGATCATTGGTAATGAACATATTCAATTTGCCTGTACTGTATTGATTATATCTTATAAAATAACATGTTTAGTTATAACGTTTTTGGACTTCCCTAAAGTATTTATTAATTTGTGTTATTAACTCCATTGTTTTAATAAGTCATGGTTTTTACGTAACCTTTAGATGAACCTTTACATTTTCGATTTATCCATCTGTCTGTCTGGATGTTACGGTTGCGGTCTTCCGATCCATTCATTTGTAGGGATAAAGATTCTAGATTGATAACACGGAAACACAAATTTTGAAAGAAATTGACAGAAAAACGAACTTTTTAAAAATATTGGATTATGAATTTCCTTTGCTATTTTATTCACTTTTTTTAGTGCTAGTAAATAAATAAAAGTTTTTAGATGTAGAATAAGTGTTTCCCATGAATTTACTTGAATATGATGATCACCAACTGCAGTGAAGAATGCTCCTTTTTAACATTAATAAAGTTCATGAGTTGGCTAACACAATGGAACAAGAAATAGGTAAATGATCTCACTTAAATGAGCATAGAAAGTTACATCCGAAACTTTAACTCTAAAAGGTTGTTGTTGGTATTTGCTATAGGCACCGGGCTGGTTTAATCCGGAACTGATGACGTCTAATGTTACTTTTAATCTGCAGGTTAAAAATAATTAAGAAACCGTTAAAATGTGTGTCTCATTTGCTAAATTATAACTGCGATAGAAAAATAGAGCTTTAGCAACCTTTTCTTAACTTTACAAAAGGAAAAAGGTAAGAAGTTTTCCCAGATATATGAATTTTATCACAAGAATAATTAGTATTATTAGTAGTTATTATTAGACCATAAAGGGATTGAAAAGTTGACTAACATGAGCAACATTGATATAATATTTACTATGTTTAGTGGAAAAGCGAAATACGAAATCACATTTATACAGGTCCGAAATTATTAATTTTTTATTAATATTTTCAAGGTGCTATTTACAAAACAAGAATAATTAAAGCGACTGTTACAGTTTTAAAATTAAATACAGTTTAGAACAAGCTTTTACCTTAATGCTGGTATATTACAAATTATTTGTTCGAGCAAACAAATTAAATCAATTTACACAATATATTTTTTAACACTAAATATTTGGGCAAATTAAATGAACAAATTGGTAGTAGGTGCATTTTTTCTATTATCTCTTCCAAGAGATTGAACCACCCCCAGAAAAATGTCCTTCCAAACGAAGCCTACCGCCACCTCCTTGACAGCAAGGTTGCTGTTGTACGCAACAGGGTTGCGGAGGTGGAGGTGGAGGTGGTGGTGGCGGAGGTCTATGTTGAGGTTGCGCACAACAATACGGTTCTACCACTACAACTTTAACTGGTTTCCACTGTGGTTGCGGTTGCGGTTGAGCGCAACAGTAACCACCGCCTCCGCCACCACCACCTTTTTTCCACCACGTTCTTTTTTTCCTGGATAACCTTTTTAAACCAGATAGAGGAACTGCATCCCGATATATCTGAAAAAGGACACTTTGAGTCAAGCTTCGAGAATTTTGTATATTATTAAAGGCATGATTGAGAACAAAAAATTTGGAAACAGAATTATGGTTTCTTCAGACTAATGCACTAAAGATAACTTTGCAAGGTATTGTACCCGGAACGCGGCGACCATTTAGCGACCATATAATTTAATAAACATGTAAACTTATGTACAGTAGCTTTGGCATTGTTTATGCTTTAGTTTAGTTAATTCTATTATTATTTTGGACAACAAAACTGACCTATTTAAAATTATAGAAGTTAAAAAGGTTCGTCATAATTTATAAAGAAAGATGGCGTATGTTTTGACATCTCCGCTGAAAATCATGCGAAGCATTTTTATTTACAATTAGTGAAGTAAGATATTTGCAAAAGAGAGGAAGAATTATGTGCGTAAAAAGAGATGAAATAAAAAAGCCTATAGGATTCTTTTGCACGCTTTGAAATATTGAGGACCAAATTTTGATTCCTTCATTTATAAACAATTTCCTCAAATTTGATTTACTAAAACTCTTAATAGGGTAACACTTAATATTGTTAAGGATTCTTACCTGTATGCTATTAGTATCAGGAATTTCAGTCTCAGTAATGTTTTCCACTAAATGATTATTTGAATAAGTTTCTGCTAAACTGTTTTTAAGATCAATCGCCAACGAATACGTGAAACTAGGACTACTTACTACGAAAAGTAAAACAAACGTGGTTAATTGACACAGGACCATTGCTCTGAGTTTATAAAACCTACTAACAGAAAATTGCAAGATTACATGTGAAATCAAACTTATATATAACTGAGGCTATCATTAGTAAGACATGCTTATGAAGTTTTTAAATAATTGCGAACTATGTGGAGGTAATGATCTGTTATTATCTATTTAAGATTATGGAAAATTATTAAAATAGTGTATTATTAAATGACACGTTAAACTATTTTCTTGGTAAATCCGTACATTTAGGATTTCATGGGTTGTTCGGTGTACAGGTAAAGTACCAGTCTAAACCAGTATCTATGTAAGTAAAAGTTATATTATTAATAAATAATTAGTTTGTACTTATTATAATTGTTCATTTAGTCACAATGTTTCGCCGGATGGCCATATGTTTAGTAGTTCCTACCTAATTAACAAGAAAATACAAATAAATGACTTTAACATTTAGTTATAAATAAATAATTATTCAGTACATAAGATTATGTTTGGTCCCGTGATAGGGTGAAAGGAAACAGGTAGAAAAGTTACAGTATTGATGAAAAACACTTTTATTAATACAAAAATAATTATTTTATTTATTTAAAAACCAAAAACAGCGATAAA